TTCGGCAGAAAATGCTTTTATCGATCACCCAGGCCGGAGTGTCCTACTGGATAAAGGCAAATATGTGCTCTTTTCAAAACTGTACTGATTTGGGGAAGTCTTTTTGTTTTTTATATTAAGCAGTAGGCTATTTACTTGATTCATTGTGGATTTGATAAAAACAATTCTATAAAAGAGAAGATATTTCGGGCGCACAGTGGCGCGAATCAGTGTGAATTAGTGAGATGTGCAGGCGCGCGTGTCTGCAATGATGCGGTATGCTGTTCCTGCCAGGCTCCGAGACTACTGGCTCTCTGCCCACCACTACTTCACTACTTCACCAGTCATTTGTTGAGCAAGTTCAAGTTTGCCTCACATGTTCCCTTCTTCATATGACAGCAAAGACAACGTGCGCGTACATGTGTGTGTGCGAGTGAAGAGACTGTGAACTGTTGAGAGGATCGTGCCAGCACAGGCAGGCATAGGCAATGATTGCCGCTGATAGCCACAATTTGTACAAGCGTTTGGTAGTGCTTTTCGGACAGTACAATCCACCACTATCTCTTAGTATGTAGTCTTGGACTTGCACGAAGGACACCCAGTCATCACAGGCAACTGTACTTGGCACAGCTACTTCGATCTTCTTCAGAATTGGCCATTAAATGAAGTCCCTTCAAATTACTCGTCTGCTCTTCTGCAGAAAGAACTTCTTAGTAAGTAAATATTTTACGAGCAGTATATGCTTACCGAATAATTTATTTAATTATCCGTCCAGTTATCTAGGAGCAATTTTTTAACATTTCCAGCAAAACGAGCCTTTTCTAGGTCAGTATATTTTGCCGATAATGATCGAAATAAAAAGGTGAGCATTTTAAAACAAACTTACTCAGTGCTAACTAGTTTGGTATTTTTTCACTAGGTTCGAAACGGAAATTTTGGGTCAGTTCCTAGAGCCGGATTCACCACTTCAGCATGCAGGCTAACCAACCGAAATCAATTTTACTTTTTGGATAAAGTGGACCCAAATGAATCGGTGAGTCGTTAAGGTTTAACATTGAAATTACTGACCAGTATTTCTTAAACAGAAATTTGGCAAAGTTCTCATTGCAAATCGAGGCGAAATCGCCTGCCGTATCATCCGAACATGTCGAGCTATGGGCATTAAAACTGTCGCCATATACAGCGAAATCGATTCTCGTGCTCGTCATGTACAGGAAGCGGACGAGTCGTACTGCGTTGGACCGGCGCCTTCGCGTGAATCGTATCTCAACGTTGAGGCCATTCTCGAGGCTATCCGCCAAAGTGGTGCTGAAGCAGTTCATCCAGGATATGGATTCTTCTCGGAAAACACTGCTTTCGCCAAACAGCTGCAGGACCTGGGCGTTGTCTTTATCGGTCCGAACTCCGAGTCAATTCGAGCCATGGGCGATAAGATCGAGAGCAAACTGATTGCAAAGAAGGCTGGCGTGAACACCATTCCAGGTTTTGATGGGACGGTTCGAGATGTTGAGCACTGTGTGGAGTTGGCTCGTCAGATCGGCTACCCCGTAATGATCAAAGCCTCTGCAGGCGGTGGCGGCAAAGGCATGCGAATTGCCAACAATGATAGCGAAGTCAACGACGGGTACCGGTTTTCCAAAGACGAGGCAGCATCCAGTTTCAACGATGACCGACTTCTGATCGAGAAGTTCATCGAGGACCCGAGGCACATTGAAATACAGGTGCTCTGTGACAAGCACGGCAATGCCATCTTCCTCAATGAACGAGAGTGCTCCATTCAGCGGCGTAATCAGAAGGTCATTGAAGAGGCGCCTAGCACCTTCGTTGACCCTGATCTTCGAAAAGCAATGGGCAAACAGGCGGTGGAGTTGGCGCGCAATGTTGGCTATGACTCGGCAGGAACAGTGGAGTTTCTTGTGGACAAGCACAAAAACTTTTACTTTCTTGAGATGAACACGAGGTAAGAGACAAGCATTGGATTTTTATACAAACCTAATAATGCCTTGTTTAATTTCAGGCTTCAAGTAGAGCACCCCATCACCGAGTACATCACCGGCATCGATTTGGTGCACCAGATGCTACGCGTTGCCAAGGGTCACCAGTTGAAACACACTCAAAATGACATTCAGATTCGAGGATGGGCCGTGGAGTCGAGAGTGTATGCAGAAAATCCATACAAAAACTTTGGCTTGCCTTCAGTTGGCCGGCTGACCCGTTACCAGGAACCACTGAACATTCCCAATGTCCGCTGCGATTCAGGCGTGCAGGAAGGATCTGATATTTCAATCTACTATGATCCGATGATTTGCAAGCTAATTAGTTACGGCGATAGCCGAGACCAGGCACTGAACACAATGGGACAAGCACTGGACAACTATGTCATTCGAGGACTCACGCACAACATTCCTTTGCTTCGAGACATTCTTACCGAGCCAAACTTTGTTTCTGGAAAACTAAGCACCAACTACTTGCCCATGGTGTACACCGATGGCTTTAAGGGACGTCATCTAACCAAAGAAAGTGAACAGGCACTGGTTGCCATTGCATCGGCAATGTTCCTGCGGTACCATGCTCGTTCAAAAAGTTTTACCAACACTCAGAGTGTAGAATTGGGCAGTTCCAGCAAGTTTTCTAGTACCGATCTGTTTGTGGATCTCAGTGAAAACCAAAGCACTAGTAGCGACCAGTTGATTCGCGCTCAAGTGACGCTGGACAATGAGACATTCAAGATTAAGGTCGATGACTTTGAGGTTCAACTGCCAAACAACATTTCACTTGCTGCCATGACTTTAGATTTTAGCATTAACGGAAAAACAAAAACAGTTCAGTTGATTTCTCTTGATGGAGATGGACGATTGCAAATTCAGTTTGAAGGCACTATTGTAAGCACTTTATTGCTGCTGTCACTGACCGGCAACTAATTTTGTTGTATTGCAGTTCAACGTTCGCGTTATGGAGGAGAAAATTGCCGAATATCTCAAACAGATTCCTGAAAAGCCCAAGATTGATGCCAGTAAAATCATCAAGTCACCTATGCCTGGTCTGGTCAAGTCAATTTCATGTCAAGTTGGCGATCAGGTATTACACTTTTCGTTTAATTTGAAAAACTATTTTTATTTTAATTAATTTAACAGGTAAATGAAGGCCAAGAGCTGTGCGTGATTGAGGCTATGAAAATGCAGAATAGTCTGATCTCCTCTTCGTCAGGCAAAGTTGCTCAAGTGAGTGTTAAAATTGGAGAAACTGTCGATGGCGACCAAGTGCTAGTGCAGTTGGAGTAAGTAAGACACTGCTCCCAAGACGCTGCTGTTGTTTTTGTTATTGTACAGAATGCATTCTCAACTTGGAGCGAGTTATGTATTTTTATACTGCACTCTATCAAGAATAAAGTTGGCATGCAGTTTGAATGGTGGAAGTGAGTAGAGTGAGGGGTGGAGGTGACTGTGTTGTTAGCACAAGTGATTAGACTGCTAAAGCGCGCCAACAAGCCCTTTAAATATTTGCCATTCTACTTTGCAGCGAAAGGTTATCTGGTTTGCCGATTCAGAAGCCGATACTGGCCTGCACTAGTGCGCAGCGCCAACTGTGACGCTTTTTGCGCACTCTATATATAATGGAAACTGAGGCGACAGAGCAGCTCGTCTGGTGTCTTGTGATCTAAGTTGTCAGCAGGAGAACCCAGCTAAGTTGAGGCTTTTTGCCAAATACTGTTCTCATAACCTAGTAGCATTGAGCCCCTGAGGGGGTTATCGGTCAGAGGGAATGCGATCACACTGATGGAGTGTGCATGCACATAATCAAGTGCAGGCCAAACTGGTACAGTGGACGCCGCAATTGACACCGTCTCCCGAGCGAGGTCAGCTGCGATTGAGAGCTCGATATAGGATGGTGTGGCGTTTTAGCAGCGAGAAACCAGCGGCAAGAAGCAGCGCACTGTGTCGTTGTACGTCAGAGGGAAGCCAATTTGGCAAGGGAGCTCAAATCCCGTCAGCAGCAGCCATTAACCGAATGCACGTGAGCAGTCAATGATCAGCAAGTGCTTGTTTTCTTCCCGAGTCGCTGGGTGCTGGTGCTGGCGGTGTGGAGCGTCGACTGACAATTGTCGCAGTGTGAATTGCATGCCTTGCTGTGTCATCTCGCACCACCAACAAAGTGCCAATTCGGACGGATTCACACTGGCGTGCATTGTGCGAGGGGAAGTGCTTCGCACAATTGCCTCCACTCGTTCACTCGACGTTCCTCCTAACGGCATGTGTGTCAACGGCGTCATTACGTAGTAGTGTGGTGGCATTACTTCATCACCTCTTCTGTCTGTCTCCCTCTGTCAACCGATAGCTTCATTAGGCGTCATGACCAGAGTTCTTCAGCACATGCTTCGTGAACTTGAAAAATGAACGTTGCAGTTTATTTGCACTTTTTGCAATTTACTTGTCACTTCTCACCTCCTTATTGTCTTAGAAGCTTAAAGATTTAGATTTTGTACATTTAGTCTTCTTCACTACTATTACTACTGTAATAGTATTCAATCTTAAACGATGTGTGGCGTATCCTCCATCATTGGTTCGCTTAAAATTTAATTTTCAAGGTTTCATCGTACTTCGTATCAACTAAAAGTCATTTGAACATGTAAATTAACACAGGTACGTTACACATGTCAAAATGCAGTAAATATGTTTCTTAGGCACAGTTTTTCGTAGTATCTATTACCTCCAATCAATTACTACTAGTGTTTGTCAACTGTAATAGAAGGGATAAAAGTCATATTTTGCTACTCTTATCAACCATTTAGTGACACTAATTGTTAAAATATTCAGCAACTTTTGACTTGACAACAGTCTCTTGTAACCTGTCGTAACTGGTCTGCCTGAGGGGGCTCAGTATTTGGCGTTTATGAGTTGATTAATTGCATTGTAGATATATGGTTAAAGTGACATTTACTTTTATAAACAATTTTTCATTTATTCGTTACTAGAGTATTTTTAGCATCAAGTATTACAAATTTTGAAGCAACCTGAAACAGGATGGCCATTTCGGCGAATAAGAAGCAGTATCCGGCCTGCCCAGATGGAGGCTGGGGCTGGATGGTGGTTTTGGGTTCCTTCATGATACATGTGATAGCCGATGGAATAATCTACAGTTTTGGATTGTTCTACTACGAGATTGCCAAGCACTTTGCAGGGGGCAAAGCTGCCAGCTCAATGGTCGTCTCGCTGATGAATGGAATGACTTATTTTATTGGTAACTGCTCTCAACGATCGTTCACCGCGCAACCCGCGCACTCACCCGCGCCCTTGTCACAATTTAGGTCCAATAGCTAGCGCTTTAACAATCAAATTTGGATGTCGATTGGGTAAGCAAGCACTGATTTTGAATTTTTACTTGTATTTTAATGAACTACCTTTCCATTCTAACCAGTGACTATTGCCGGCGCCATTTGCACCAGTGTTGGATTTTTTCTCAGCGTATTTGCTCCAAATGTTTACACACTTTATTTCACCATTGGAATCTGTGGTGGTTTTGGTTTTGGCTTGATGTAAGAATGATTAAAATATTTAAACTTGAGTTAACTTTAAAATTTTTTCTAGGTACCTTCCAGCAATTGTGATGTAAGTTGGAGGAAGAAACAATGCAACGTATTTACATTTTTTTCAATTTTTAGCGTCACATCTTATTTTGAAAAAAGACGTGCTTTTGCTACTGGAATTGCAGTCTGTGGTTCAGGTAAATGAATGAATATTAATTCTGTGTTTTTATTTACTACAAATATTACTTATTGCAACAGGAATCGGAACGGCCATAATGTCTCCTCTTATTGAGTATCTCATCGATGAAATGGGCTGGAAAGGGGCAATGCTGGTGGTTGCAGGTGTAATGCTGCTGTGCTGTCTTTTTGGAATTCTCTTCAGGCCGTTGCCTCCCATTGTGGAAACTACGCCAGAGTACAGCTCAACGAGTGGCATTGAAGGAAAAGAGACAAATGAAAAAACCGAGTTCAATTTGACCATAGTCCCTAGCATCATTGAAGAGGAAGAGGACGCTGACGAAAGTGTAGGCGCAATGTCTCAGAGTGCACCGCGTCTCTCGATGCCACACGAAAAGGAGATTCGTTTTCCAAAAAGCAACTGCAAGCCAGCAAAAAGCATGTGCTCTGTGCAGCTGTACTTGAATGACCCAACGAATGAGGCCAAACAAAGATCTCACTCTTTTTCTCCTGGATTTCTTTATCGAAGAGATGCTTTTTACAGTGGATCATTAGTCAACATCCCTAATTACAGCTCTGATGAAGAAATGTACCAAAAACGAAATCAAAAGAAGTCAAAAGCCAACTGCTGTCTGTTTCGGTGGCTCAACTGTTCAGAGGAAATGATGGATAACTTCTCCGAAATGATTGACTTGTCGCTGCTCAGTAATCACATCTTTCTTATATTCTCCATAAGCCAGTTTCTTTGTAGTGTAGGCTTTCACATACCTTTTATTTACCTAAAGGTAAACTTTACTTTAAAGAAAATTATAATTTTAATCTTACTTTTTTTATTTTAGGATCGAATTGTCGAACTGAAAGTTGCATCTCCTCAAGAGACGGGATTCTTTACTGCAATAATTGGCATTTCAAGCACAATAAGTCGACTGGTGTTTGGATATTTAGCCGATCACTCTTTTGTGAATCGACTTTATCTGTACATGTTCAGCGTCACTTTATGCGGTTTTGTGATAATGTCAATGTCTTTTGCTTCTACATATGAACTCATGATTGCATTCTGTGTACTCTTCGGTGTCACATGCGGTAACAACTTTATCAATTTGAGTTTGAAGTAGTAATTTAATTTTTATTTGTTACTTTTTATTTAGGAACATACGTCAGTCTCACTTCAGTTGTTTTGGTGGACTTGTTGGGCCTGGAAAAGCTGACTAATGCGTTTGGTTTGATTCTCCTTTTCCAAGGTGTTGCTTCTTTTGTTGGACCCCCATTTATTGGTAAATATGCATTTTTTAAGCATCTACATTTAAACAACCCTTCTTTGATTACAGGCTTCATTTACGATATTTATGGTGTTTATGATGTGGGCTTTTACATAATTGGTAAGTGTACAGCAAGGTTAAATGTCTACAGTATACTAACCAACAATTTGCTAACCCTCCACAACCTTATTACACCAGGTGCCATTGTGGCCTTCAGCGGAGTTATGCTTGTTCTGATTGATTTATCATTTTTATCGCACTACTTTCGAAAACTAATTTTTCCAAAAGCTTGATAACTTGCTTTTAACATGATGTTTCATCAAGTGCCATTTGTGCCAGTATGTGATTTGACACGATGTGATGTAAGCTTTTGCCACATTTTTCCGAGCTGATTTCTTTTCTTCTCAATTTCATTTGTACATATGTGAACAATGCCAATTTAACTAACTTTTTCCCATGTATATTCATTTTTAGCCATATACATTTATATGCACACACTCACACATGCCTTCTCTTTCAGCAGAATAACTTGTGAATGCGCTTGTTTTTCAATTATCGGTTTGATCTTTTATCAGCTGCGCCAAAATATTAAGAGTATTTTTCATAACATATATTAATTGTTTAATTTTTATTATTGCACAAAATCAATTCATTAAAAT